AAGCGGGTATCCCGATTGGGCAATATCTGCGTTTACGTAGAAACTGCTCAACCCTTGAAGATTTTAAGATAAAGGCCGCTAATTTGCGGAAATCTTTCAAGGATAAAGGGTACCCAAACAGAGTTCTTAAAAAGGCATACTCAAGGGCATTAAACTCAGACAGAGTGAATCTTCTTGAGGACAAAATTTTACCCTCTAGCCATCAGATTCGCTGTATTGGGACACATGATGCAGGTTGGCACACAATGCTGCAGATTCTCAGCAGATATTGGCCGATCCTGACATCAGATGTCCATATCAAATCAGTCATCTCTCCTTTTCCTTCCGTTACGGCACGTAGAGGGAAGAACTTTAAGGACCTTTTGGTACCTAGCCACTTTGGTCCATTTAATAAATCTTCTAAATCCTATTTACCTAAAGGCACTTACAGATGCGGTCACTGTAGTGCCTGTCAGTACATAGGTAAAGAAACAAAGATTTTTTTCGACAGTTTGAATCTTGACTCTCATTCTGTACAGTCTTTCTTCAATTGCCGTACAGAGGGAGTCATCTACCTTTTGACATGTTCTTGTGGCATGAAGTATGTCGGAAAAACATTCCGACCTTTTAAGTTCCGCATTAGAGAACACGTCAACTCAGTCAGAAGCAAACTGGAAACTCCCATCTCAAGGCACCTCAAGACTTGTCATGCAAATTCATCCAGTAGGATACGCTTTATGGGCATAGAACTCATAACCCAAACACAACGTAAAGGGGATTGGGATCGTAGGCTCAAACAAAGAGAATCCTACTGGATATATAAATTGAAAACATTGTCACCACAGGGATTGAATGAAGGTTTTTCATTCTCATCATTTTTGTAGACTGATAGGTATTTCCACCAACAGTTTCTATACAACCATCTGATCTACCTTATAATAATCATTTGCTGTCTGTAAATATGTAAATAAGTCAATAATAAAAATTCTCTTTTTCTCTTTCTCTTTTGCATTAGTCACATGGTTCCTAATAGGTTTCATACCTTATTATATTACATAGCTGCCTTAAATGGTGGTGAATTTCTTTTGAGATTAACCAGTAGTCACAGTCAATCCTGATTTGAAACGCTGTTTCATTATTTGTAAAGTATAAAGAATATATAACCCTCTGCAGTGTAAACCTAACTTAAGCCTTATACTTAATTGCCATTATTAATAAATATGAATCCCAGTGGAAGCATTATACAGCAGGGTGCCATATTTTAATGTCCTGGCAAATTTACGTGTATATGTCCAGGTATATAGAGGATAATTAATTAATTACTTTTTACAACTTAATTCTTTTTGACTGTTATTATAATTTTTTGGGGTCACCAAGTTACAAGAGCTGTATTATATGCCTTTAATGCTTTTATGCATCTGGAGGCATTTTATATATCAATATTTGGCATAATGACTGACTGTGTGATCTGTCAGCCAGTTTCATGCCAGAGGTGCAGTTAGAGGGAGCCCCTTCCCTGTGCTACATTTTGATACTTCTCATTGATATCATATATATTGGCTAGTTAGGTTTATGTCAGTTTTGTTATCAGGAGGAGGGATGCTTGATTTTGCACCCTCCTCCTGTATTGATTGACTGATAGATCTTCCAATGGTTATCCCCATGTGAGCAGCAGGGTTTGGATAGGTGTGTTCTGATTATGCATAAGTCCCTCCCCCACCTCTCAGTGATTGACTTTGTTATCCTCCAATGAGACTCTAGCTTAAGCAATGACAGGGTTGAGGAGGAGTGGTGACTCCATGTCAATCACCCACCCCTCCCACATGCTGGATCAGCTGGATGGACTTTTCTCTGATTGCTCGGGTATTTAACCGGTTTCAATAGGAACTGCATTTGCAATAGCTCCTGACGACGGCGTGTATGCACGCTGAAACGCGCGTCGAGCGCCTTATTTGACTTTACTTTTTTTTTCTCACATTAGGTAGCACTTAGGTAGTTAGTATGTTTGATTTAGTTAGTTAGTATAGTTAGCAATTTATTATTTGGCATTTAGAGTTTTTCTAGGCAGGCATTTTTTGGTCCTGGGGGTCTCCTCTGGACTTAGGGCTTGTCCTTAGTGGGTCTGCCCCTGTCCTCCTTTGCTCTCTTTTCTCCTATGCATGTTTGTATAGGCTCCTGTTTGCTTGCCTTTATATTAGTGGGGTGATTTATGTATTACACATATTTTGTGTTGCCTTATTGTATTTTTGCAGCTTAGGTGTCCTTATTTTGGACATTTTATCTAGTATAAATGCTAGAGTCTCCCTTTTTTTTTTTTTTTTTGTTAAAGGGACAGTCCTTTGCTGCTATTAAATACAACTAGCAGTGGTTTATATAGGGTATATATGGGTATTTCGATTTATCCCCCTTCACCCTTTTATCCATTTATAAGTACAGCGCCCTCTTTTTCTCTACTTGCCACCTGGTAACTATACAATTTATTCTGTTTAGTTCAGCAGCTACTTCTGGGATCCCCTTGTTTCAAGGGTCTCCGTCATTCAACTATATTTATTTCTGGGTTACCCCCTATATTGTAGCTCTGAGGTAGGCTCTTTTTAAGACAGCTCTCACCAATTCACATTTTTTTTGTGATTATGGGGATCTGTCTTTTCATTCCTTTTTACATTATCTAACCCTATTAATCATTATCTTACCCTATTAATAATCAGTATCTTACCCTATTAATCATTATCTAACCATATTAATAATAGTTATCGTATCTAACCCTATTAATCATTATCTTACCCTATTAATAATCCGTATCTAACCCTATTAATCATTATCTAGCCCTATTAATAATCATTATCTTACCCTGTTAATAATCAGTATCTAACCTTATTAATAATCATTATCTTACCCTATTAATAATCAGTACCTAACCTTATTAATAATCAGTATCTAACCCTATTAATAATCATTATCTAACCTTATTAATAATCAGTATCTAACCCTATTAATAATCATTATCTAACCCTATTAATCATTATCTAATCCTATTAATAATCATTATCTAACCCTATTAATAATCATTATCTTACCCTATTAATAATCAGTATCTAACCCTATTAATCATTATCTAACCATATTAATAATAGTTATCGTATCTAACCCTATTAATAATCAGTATCTAACCCTATTAATAATCAGTATCTTACCCTATTAATCATTATCTAACCATATTAATAATAGTTATCGTATCTAACCCTATTAATAATCATTATCTTACCCTATTAATCATTATCTAACCCTATTAATCATCATTATCTAACCCTATTAATAATCATTATCTTACCCTATTAATAATCAGTACCTAACCTTATTAATAATCAGTATCTAACCCTATTAATAATCATTATCTTACCCTATTAATAATCAGTACCTAACCTTATTAATAATCAGTATCTAACCCTATTAATAATCATTATCTTACCCTATTAATAATCAGTATCTAACCATATTAATAATCATTATCTTACCCTGTTAATAATCAGTATCTAACCTTATTAATAATCATTATCTTACCCTATTAATAATCAGTACCTAACCTTATTAATAATCAGTATCTAACCCTATTAATAATCATTATCTTACCCTATTAATAATCAGTATCTAACCATATTAATAATCAGTATCTAACCCTATTAATAATCATTATCTAACCCTATTAATAATCCGTATCTAACCCTATTAATAATCAGTATCTATCCCTATTAATAATCAGTATCTAACCCTATTAATCATTATCTAACCCTATTAATAATCAGTATCTTACCCTATTAATAATCCGTATCTAACCCTATTAATAATCAGTATCTATCCCTATTAATAATCATTATCTAACCCTATTAATAATCCGTATCTAACCCTATTAATAATCATTATCTAACCCTATTAATAATCATTATCTAACCCTATTAATAATCATTATCTAACCCTATTAATAATCCGTATCTAACCCTATTAATAATCAGTATCTATCCCTATTAATAATCAGTATCTAACCCTATTAATCATTATCTAACCCTATTAATAATCAGTATCTTACCCTATTAATCATTATCTAACCATATTAATAAGTTATCGTATCTAACCCTATTAATAATCATTATCTTACCTTATTAATAATCAGTATCTAACCTTATTAATAATCAGTATCTAACCCTATTAATAATCATTATCTAACCTTATTAATAATCAGTATCTAACCCTATTAATAATCATTTTCTAACCCTATTAATAATCATTATCTAACCTTATTAATAATCAGTATCTTACCCTATTAATAATCAGTATCTAACCCTATTAATAATCATTATCTTACCCTATTAATAATCAGTATCTAACCTTATTAATAATCAGTATCTAACCTTATTAATAATCAGTGTCTTACCCTATTAATAATCATTATCTAACCCTATTAATAATCATTATCTAACCCTATTAATAATCATTATCTAACCTTATTAATAATCAGTATCTAACCCTATTAATAATCATTATCTTACCCTATTAATAATCAGTATCTAACCTTATTAATAATCAGTATCTAACCCTATTAATAATCATTATCTAACCCTATTAATAATCTGTATCTAACCCTATTAATAATCAGTATCTAACCCTATTATTAATCATTATCTAACCCTATTAATAATCAGTATCTAACCCTATTAATAATCCATATCTAACCCTATTAATAATCATTATCTTACCCTATTAATAATCATTATCATATCTAACCATATTAATAATAGTTATCATATCTAACTCTATTAATAATCCTTACCGTATCTAACCTCATTAATCTAATTGATATTCATTATACAGAGATCTAGATGAAAGATATTCAATACAGATAGAGATATCGATAAACTTTAAATATTTTGATGTCCGGGGCCTCCTGTCTATCACACGGAGCTTTTACCTCTCTGTGTGTTTCGTTTGCTCGTCAGGAATTCCTAATGTTGTTTTTGTGTTTTCAGACGGTTTTGTTATGGTGGATAATATCGATGTCTATCAGGCTATTTTGCACATTGGTAACTCCAGGCAGAACTCTCTGGACGTTTACGATGACATTGAAAGGTAAGTTCTGCCAGTCCTTTGGTGGCCTTGGTTATTAAAAGCTATTATGTTTCATATATTTTTTTAATTCCTTCTAGTGGAAGAACAATTGATGGATCCTATTCATCAAACAATTGTAAGTTTTTATTTTTCCAATAAATTTGAACTGTTTTGAGGAAAGTGTGATAATCATGACATGCGCTAGGGTGTGTGTAAGTTATCCCGAGACACAACTCAGGGCCCGTGTGTCTTCTAAATCCTCTGTCTAGGTCGTGACAGGAGAGTTTACTGGTATTTAGGTTAGCTTGTTATATTTTTAAAGTAAAAAACTGCCCTACTGTCGTTGTAATCACTAGGTCTCGGGAGCAAACAGTTTGGATTTTGAACCTTGTTTTGGATATCCGTCTTGTTTAATGAATATTTAGATGGTAGTTTCCTTTGGATGTGCATGCTCTGTATTTGGAAGCTAGTTTTCAAAAATGGAATGTTTTAACATTTAGCTATAATTTGAACACTGAGTGATAATCTGCGGGATGCTGCATGTGTAATAAAGATGATGAACGCTTTTTACAGAAGTGTTGAGTAGAGTCTATAATTTAGGGTCACCCATAGTCAGGACCATAAGCTAGACCAGGGGTAGGCGACCTTTTAGTAGTCCTGTGTCAATACAAGATCTCGAAGTCTCTTGGCGTGCCGATCCTGTTTATTTAAATTAAGGTGTGTATGTATTGGTTTTGTACTATTTATGGTTGCTGCAGTTGCTTTGTAACGTTGTATTTGTATGTATGTGGGCTGTTTTGTTGTCTATGCTCATGAGTCGTTTGTGGTATTGTGTAGGATATCTATGAATGTAGGCTGCATATTGGGGCTGCTTGTGCAATTGTGTGTGAGATGCTGTTTGTGGGGTTGTGTGAGTGTATGTGAATTGTCAACAGTGTTGTGTTTGTGGGGACAATGTGTGTTTGTGTATGGTCCGTTTGTATTATTTGTATGAGGAAGAGACCTCTTCTGCAGCTCTGTGTATATCTAGCAGTGTGGACTGGGCTAACCAGGTACAGGTCAAGGGAGGAGCTGAGATGGAGTAGCTGTGATAACTGCTGTTAGCTACTCTACTGCAGAGCAGATTCCCACTCACAAGAGCTTGGAGAAAGATCACTTATTTTAAGTGCTGCAATGTATAGATTGAGGATTGTCCCTCATTACCTGCCATCACAAATCGGGTTGCACTAGCAGATATCTGAAGTCCCACTGGACTCCTGACAGGAAAGAGCCTGTTTGTGCCTTGAGTGCCATGCTAGGGCACCTCGAGTGCCATGTAGGGCACATGTGCCATATATTGCTGACCTCTGACCTAGGGGTCAGAGAGGAGACTACAATCTTGAGCCCCCTGAACTGAAACTGCAGTTTAGAGTCACCCTGAGATTAGATTATAGTTGCTCTGAGACAAGGTCATCCCTGGAGAGTAGATCAGTCTATTTCTCATGAGACATGGTCACACTGGAGGGTCACCTTGGCATTAGATCAGTCTGTTTATTGTGAGACATGGTCGCACTGTAGGGTCACCTTGGGATTAGATCTGTCTATCATGAGACAAGGTCGCACTGTAGGGACACCTTGAAATTAGATCAGTCTGCGTGAGACAAAGCCATACTGTAGGGTCACCTTGAGATTAGATCACTCTGTTTATTGTGAGACAAGGTTGCAATGAAGGGTCACCTTGAGATTAGATCAGTCTGTTTATCGTGAGACATGGTCTCTGACAAAACCCATTGACCCAGTTATTTTTCCCTGCATTCGGTAGACTAATCTACTGAACACCGACCACCCCCTGGTTCATTTAACTTCAAAGAAACCATGCACTTAAGTGCTCTCTGTGTGGCCACCGTTCGTATAACCGAACAACACGTGCGATGGAAAACGGTGGCCGTCTTGCTTACCGAAAGCAGGCAGTGGTACCTGGTCGTCGAGTGTCTGGAACCCTGCAAACACTGGTGATTTGGTATGAACGCCTGTTTCTTTCCACGACAAGCCAGGAGTGCGCTGTTCAGTAATATTGTTCGCATGAACAAGGTGAACAATCGCTACCTATGAGCTAGGGGAACCATTTTGTATTTCTGAGCGATATTTGGACTTTTGGGGTATTTTATGCTTTATTTTCTGTAACTCTAGTGCCTGGGAGATAATTAGTTTAAGCAAACTAAACTCCCGTATCTCCCAGACACAGACACGCCTACAGTGTCACTTTAAGATTTAGAAACCTCTAAATCAAGAGTAAAAGGGGTACACTAGCCATAAATAAAGCAACAAATAACTTTTTTTGATGCGTCAAAAATGCATTTATTTGATATGCTTCTTATGTTTACCGTTCCATTGTATTTCTGGTCTGATATAATAACTACACTTTCTATACCAAGAGTGTGCAAAAACGCACGATTTTACACTCCTCTGATCCATTATAATATTGTATTTTCTTGCTCGTCTTTTATTTTTACGTTTGTGACCCACCTTGCTGTTTGTTTCTTGTCCCTCGTGCCTTTTCAGCTTTTGATGATAGCCAAGATCTCTATGAAGATGCTAGCAGCAGCAGTGGCGCAGTATTAAACAGGTCAGTAAACTATATTTGGAATTTTATCAGTTCTTATTAGTGCAGACACCATGATGTGGTGTTATCTTAACCAGTCCCTGGTCTGTTCCTGAAACCAAGACAAACCAAGCTTGTTTGTTGTTTGTGTAACATCACATGTGCGGTGATCTTGTCCAAACATATATTTAGTAAATGCATGGTCTACTTTCTCCTTGTGCCTCACTCGTTAAAGCCTTTTAAAGAAATACTAATATCACCAGTGATCCACCCGCTTTACAGGCTGTGGCCACCCAGGGTTCATAGTCTCGCTCTGAGATGGACTCCGTAATCCACCCCACCAGCGAGAACATAGGTTGATGTTCATGAAATACTGGAGCTGATGTAAAGCACAAACTGCACCATGCATGTTTCAGGGAATCTGTATTATCTATACTCAGGGGGTCTCCCGACTGGGCTGTGTTGCTTTCATCGAACTACGTTTCCCAGAATCTATTTATTTATTACTGGCATTTATAAAGCGCCAACAGATTCCGCAGCGCTGTACAATTAGTGGACGCACAATATACACAGACAAATACCAGAAGTAGAGAGGGCCCTGCCCGTAAGCCAGTTAAGCTCTTTTATACAGAGTGCTTAACTAGATAGCCTGTGAGCTTACAATTCACTGCCAGCTTTTCATCACTGCCTGGAATAGAGTCAAATAACATCTAGTAACCCCAATAAAGCCACGTTGGAAACTCCTGGACCGTCCACACATCCCTAAAATAACTTAACATCCTCGATTTTTTCCCACGGTATAAGGCTTGCCTGCATAAAGGGACACTATAGGCACTCAGACCACTTCAGCTCTTGAAGTATTAACAGAAAGCCACAAGAGGCACTTCCCTGTCATTAGTCGACTTTTGATCGCCTAACTGACACTGGGCGTCCTCACACTGTGCATGAGAACATCCAGCGTCAACTAAAACCCATAGGGGTAGTCCTAATGTGAGCACGGACGGTGCTTGCTGCACATGCGCATTAGGTCCCGATGTGGGGCCTGACTTCAGCGTTGAGGGCCATCAGTGCTGGATTCGGGTAAGGGACAAAAGGGGTCGGTGAGATAGCTCAGCAGTTAATGCTCCAACTGCAGGGTTCTTTCCTGGTTAGATGTCCCGGAGAGTGAATTAGTCCACCTTCCTTCCAAGGCGGACCATCGAACCTGGTTCAATAGACATAGATATTATTATTAATGTAAAAAATAATGTATTGTTGAGAAGTGTCTACATCATAGAATAGCTGCTTTCTTAGTACTTAGTCTGTCAGCTCCTGGACATTTTTTTGATATGTGTGTTTATTAATTTTAGCTCTGGAGGAAAAGGTCTAAAGAACATCTTCAAGAAGGACCTGAAAAAGGTTGATACCGGGTAAGACGCTTGCCATCTATTGTCTTTCAGTGGAAATGTCCATATAATAGGTGAGCAGACCATCCCGAGAGATGCTGACTGTCCTTCTAAACATTTTAACAAACAGAAACTTATTTTTTTTATTACCATTTACACCCCAGCCTGAAATTTAATGATATATTTTTTTTTTTCTATGGACTTCAGGCACCAATACGTTAATGCATTGAGAAGTTTAGGCCTCATTGATATTCTGCAATTTTTTTTCATGCTTAAATCTCCCACCATAACCCCCGTCCCCGTCACTCCCTGAGCTGAACTGGGAAGTCACCATCACTTTACAAACGTTCCTAAATTGTTCCTATGTCTAACAATATACCCACACATTATGGTTGTATGTATATTGCTAATTGTTTGCCTGCTCTCCTGTCCTGCTGAGGATTGCTACCAACTGGTGGACTTGGCAGTGGAGCCGATATAGTGCCCTACCTGAATAGCAAGGCTGGTTAATTTGCATATTAGGGTAGATTTGCATATTGCTGTTTCTGCAGGCAGGGGAGATACTTTGTGTTGGTAATTGACTTCCCCATCCCTTTGTAGATATGTTATTGTGATATTATAATTCCCTATGTTTTCTGATATGTTTTGTCACCATAACTGCTGGTGAGGTAGCTCAGTTGGTAAATTCCCTGACTACAAAGCTCCGCTACAGTAGGAATGTCACTATATATGTCTGCCTGATCGTCATATGTTGTCCCCATTCTTTCTGGTCTAAATGAATTTCCCCCATGTCTCCTCTATTTAGATATTTGTCACCCTCTCACCCTGAAATTATAGAGCGGAGTATAAACATGCAGTCTGTTTTGCTGCTCAATGTTATGGCAAAAACAGGAGATTTTAATGTATGATCAAGTTAAAGTTGAAACCTTTTTTTTCTTTTAATGACACTTAGTGTTATTTTTTTAAATTATGTTTATTGATTTTTTTTTTGTTGAGAAAATGGCCCTTTTTTAATTTATTTTTTTCATCTGAGCGCCCATGTTGGATCAGACTCTACTGTTAACTGACCTCCTGTTAACTTGCTGCGGCTGTGATTGCTGTGTGTGAACCTGCAGCAGCAGCAAGTTAGGTTGACCAGCAGTTGGTCAGATATCATTAGATTATCTGCCGCTCAGACAGATAAGTGAAAATACATAAAAGAACATATTAATATCCGTCATTTAAAAAAAAAAAAAAACCCTGATATTTCATTAAATCTAATACACTTTTAAAAAGAAGTGGAAATTAAATGTCAATCCTTTAAACAATATATTTTTTGTAATTCACAATAAAATGTTGCCATTTAGTCGAGAAGGTTAGAAAATAAGGCTGCGCACGCCGCTTGTGAAATTCTTGGTTGAAATGGGCGCTTTTCACCCAGATAGTGGAACAAAGGAAGATGGGTGTTCTGTACTTTCAGGCGCTTATAATATTGTGTGAATAATATAGGAAAAAGAGCTGCTTCCACACTTAAGTAGGAACTCTCCACCCTACTATAATCGAGTACAAACAAAACTACTATTTTACAAATCAATGTCAGATAGTGAGGCGTGTAAGAGACACTTACCCCTAAGATTCTAAGGGAATATATAGGGTGAAAGTAATCGCTAAAAGGGAACAGAAAATATAAAGTGCCATATATGGTGATTAAATGGTGAGGATAGTGTCTTTACTGGAATCACTCACATTGTTTAGAACCCTCTTAAGGACCGGCTGTGATCTCTTCCGACACCCTAGACGTCCATATTAGGTGAAAACCTCAATAATGGAGATAAAAAATGGGAGAGAGCTTTTCACCCAGATACTTGATCAATGCATGACAAATTGATCAATATTATTGTCATTATTGTATTTCTGGCATTTATCTGAACATACATGTGGCAAACCTAGCCACTTCAGACTATTTTGTTTATCTTTGAGCGTTGCCCTAGAAAGACTGGTTTATATATGATGTTTGATGTGTTTGCTTAAAATGTGACAGAGGGAATTCGTATGTGTGACAGATCCATCTGTCTAAGTACTATTTGCTGGTTCGTCTATTTTATCTACATTCGTGGAATTACCTGTCCATATGCCCCTGTTCGTTTATTGCAATATGTACCGAATGAAACTATCGAACAGACGGCCACCCAGAAGAGAAGTGTGCTGCTGGTTAACCTATTGGCCTCAATTAGAACATTGTGGTTAACCACAGACACCTCTTCATTCTAACCGTATGCAGGGTGGTCGTCGTTCGCATGTGGACCACGAGGCGGCAGCCATTTTAAACACGCGAATGCACAGCGGTGTTCGGCACTTAAACTATGGAACTAAAAACAGACACTCTTTCTACCGAACACCGCTGAAACTGCTGACCGCCCTTCTTATCCCCGGGCATGCGAACACCGGTCCATTCTGGACTTTTATTGCACGAATAGACTTAACCCAGATAGTCATCCCATGGAGTCAATCGCATACCGAAAGAACAATGTGAAAGACTTTGACTCGATGGCGATTGAACTGTGTGCATTGGGTCTGAGCGCTATTCGGCAGTTATGGGCACTCAGACCCAGGCTATCTGGGGATACATTACACGAACTAAAAGCATTCGGTAGTTTTATAATTATGGATTTTTATGTGTTTCTGTTATAATATGTAAAATGGCGATTTGCCTCTATCCCTGGAGATAATTGGATTTCTTTCCAATTATCTCCAGGATAGAGAGGAGGGATTTACTTGTGCAAAGGGGAGTGTTTAGAGTTGAGCCACTGTGATTGGCTACTGTATATTCTGTGTCCAAGTCTCCCATCTGGTCCCCTAGGGGAGTGTCCACTAGGTGGGAGACCTGCATAAATACCGGGCAGGTAGCCCTCATTAAAGCAGAATCCTGTTTTACCCTCAAGACGGAGCTTGGTCTCATGTTTGGGGGTATTGCTACTTGGAAGTATTATTTTGCCTATTCTAGGAGAGAAGGAGTTCGGCTGATTATTTATTCGGGAGTTTGCAGTATTCCCTTATACTCCGTTCGAGAGTTTGGCGGTCCACAGCAGCAGAGCCTGTGTCTCAAAAGGGGGAAGATTACCTAAACGGCGGTTTCACTCATTTAAGCTGAGAGTGTCTTAACAACTGGTGGCAAGTGACGGGATGATCCTCATCACCCAGAGAGACAGCCACACATACAGGATTAATGGAAATACTGTATGAAAGGCTGAAAAGAGCTACCCTTAAAGACCTGCTGGAACAAAGAGGCCGACAAGCCAGTAACCTCAGGAAGAGGGAGATTATTGCCATCCTGACCGAAATGGATGGAGTACGAGGGGCAGAAGGAACCAATGGGCCCAGCGCAGCTGACAGAACCCCCGAAGAGGCAAGCTTTAACCAGGCAGTTATAATCAGGCTGGCCCATTATGGTCCCAACCCGACTATGGAGATCATTGACCAGGTCATAGCAGCTGTGGAGGCCAATCTACTACGCCAAAGAGGCGCTGCAGCAGCTCAAGTCCCAGCAACCCCGGTGCAAAAGAGAAAGGTACAGTTTGCAGCATTTAAACCTTTCATTGAGACGGAAGGAGAGATTGATGGGTACCTTGCTGATTTTGAGAGGCAATGTGCCCTACACAAGGTGCCCGCCGAAGACTGGTTCACTATATTGTCTGGAAAGCTATCCGGCCGGGCCAGTGAGGCTTTTAGGGCCATTCCTGATGAGGAGATTAGGGATTATAATGCAGTAAAAAACGCTCTGCTCTCCAGGTATACCGTCACCCCAGAGGCATACCGGAGGCGGTTCAGAGACACTGCCAAACTAGCCGGGGATTCTTACGTTGAATGGGCATGCAGGGTACACCGCACAGCTGCCCACTGGAGGGCGGGGTTTCAAGCCGTATCCGGGGAAGAGGTGCTACAGATGTTTTTTACTGGAACACTGTTTTGAAAAATTATCTCCAGGAGTCAGAGACTGGGACACAGAATATACAGTAGCCAATCACAGTGGCTCAACTCTAAACACTCCCCTTTGCACAAATAAAGGTGCAAGTAGGTCTGGTTTATTGAGGCCTACCTGCCCGGTATTTATGAAAGTGTCCACCAGGTGGACACTCCCCTATGGGACCTGATGGAACACTTGGACACATATTGGATATTAGCCAATCACAGACAAGACAAACAAAACACTCACACAGTGACACTCCCACAGTGACAATCCCTCCTCTCTATCCTGGAGATAACTGGGAAGAAATCCAATTATCTCCAGGGATAGAGGCAAATCGCCATTTTACATATTATAACATAAACACATAAAAATCCATAATTATAAAACTACCGAATGCTTTTAGTTCGTGTAACGTATCCCCAGATAGCCTGGGTCTGAGCGCACATAACTACCGAATAGCGCTCAGACCCAATGCACACAGTTCACTTGCCATGGAGTCAAAGTCTTTCACATTGTTCTTTCGGTATGCGATTGACTCCATGGGATAACTATCTGGGTTAAGTCTATTCATGCAATAAAAGTCCCGAATGGACCGGTGTTCACATGCCCTGGGATAAGAAGGGCAGTCGGCAGTTTCAGCGGTGATCGGTAGAAAGAGTGTCAGTTTTTAGTTCCATAGTTTAAGTGCCAAACACCGATGTGCATTCGCGTGTTTAAAATGGCCGCCGCCATCACCCTGCATACGGTTAAAATGAAGAGGTGTCTGCGGTTAACCACAACGTTCTAATTGAGGCCAATAGGTTAACCAGCAGCACACTTCTCTTCTGGGTGGCCGTCCGTTCGATAGTTTCATTCGGTACATATTGCAATAAACGAACAGGGGCATACAGACAGGTAATTCCAGGAATGTAGATAAAATAGATGAACCAGCAAATAGTACTTAGACAGATGGATCTGTCACAGTATACTAGTGGCATGAAAGCCGCTAGCATTCATATGGTAGTTTCACGAACAGTGATTTTCAACACTGTTCGTGAAATGAACAAAGTCCCGAAAGGGAGCCCACACACAGGGGGTCGTGTGGCTCCCATTAACCGATTGCAACAATGTATCTATCGGCTTTTAATTGAGTCACAGGGTGGCCGTCGTTCGGCTACTGACCACAAGGCAGCGGCCATCTTGGATTGCCTTTTTGCCCACCGGTGTTTGGTTGTCGAGTGCCTGGAACTAAAAATCGGCTACTCGACGGCATGAACACCGCTGGACTTCCAGGCCGTTCGGGTGCACCGGTCTTTCGGTACTTTTTCCCCACTTGTATATTCGTGACTTTTATGAGGAATGTATATTGAAGTGTATTTCGTGCAGCGTTCGGCTGATTGTGCTGGGATCTGAGCGGTACTTTCACGAAGTATGCGCTCAGACCCCAGCTATCTGCCGAACGGTCATTCGGTACAATGGCACGAATAATATGTAAGTTATGGATTTTTATGTGAAAAGCCAGTTCTGCTGTACGGAGGGATAATCTACTTAACAGGATATTCTAGTGGGAGTATCCCTCTCGTATAGCAGTGCATGGTGGGAGAAATGTTCTGTATCTTAAGTCCCCCATGTAGTCCCCTACTGTACAACCCCTGTAAAGTCGGTAAGGAAACCCCTTGCATGGGGAACCACATAAATACTGGAGCTTGTGAATAAAATCGTCAGTTGACTCCCAGAACTGTGTTTCATCTGGTTACTGGGGGATTTGGGATATTGCCTTCATTTTCAGCGATTTCTTTGTGTGACGGTAGTATATGGTATCATCGTCAAGCATTCCCTTCTTCCCACAAAAGATCACCCAATACTCCACAAGTAGAAATATCCCTGGAATCGCCGAATAATCCACACATGAGCCAAAGCTTAATGCTGGAACAAGCAGGGGCGTTTTAGCCGCGAGGCTAACAAGGCATTTGCCTTGGGCGCATTTTTCAGGGGGCGGCAAAAAACGGCGTGCGGGCGGCTGGTGGCTGGCGAGGGAGCTCTTCCCCTGAGCGGTCTGCTCAGCTCCCTCGCGCGCCGCAGAGTGAGGCTGGGAGCCTAGGGCAGCACAAAACCAGGATACACCACTGGGAACAAGACTGATTTACTGGCACACAGGACAATTTATGCAATACAAAACTCCTCCTCTGGGCCAGGCTAGATAATTGAGTATCAACAATACACAAGTTCAATTATCTGCTGGCCAGAAACATTACAATTTTTAACAATTTCAGAAAAGTACTTTTTACAAGACATACAAATATAATTTTAACATCCCTGGGTAGCTGAGGATACTGGTAGTCACATTTCCAGCTATGTAACTATGCAACTGTGTAACTATGTAACTAACTGTGTAACTATGCAACTGTGTAACTATGTAACTGTGTAACTATGCAACTGTGTAACTATGTAACTGTGTAACTATGCAACTGTGTAACTGTGTAACTATGCAACTGTGTAACTATGTAACTGTGTAACTATGCAACTGTGTAACTGTGTAACTGTGTAACTATGCAACTGTGTAACTATGCAACTGTGTGACTGTGTAACTGTGCAACTGTGTAACTGTGTAACTATGCAACTGTGTAACTGTGTAACTATGCAACTGTGTAACTATGCAACTGTGTAACTGTGTAACTATGCAACTGTGTAACTATGTAACTAACTGTGTAACTATGCAACTGTGTAACTATGTAACTAACTGTGTAACTATGCAACTGTGTAACTATGTAACTAACTGTGTAACTATGCAACTGTGTAACTATGTAACTGTGTAACTATGCAACTGTGTAACTATGCAACTGTGTAACTGTGCAACTGTGTAACTGTGCAACTGTGTAACTATGCAACTGTGTAACTGTGTAACTATGCAACTGTGTAACTATGCAACTGTGTGACTGTGTAACTGTGCAACTGTGCAACTGTGTAACTGTGTAACTATGCAACTGTGTAACTATGCAACTGTGTAACTGTGTAACTATGCAACTGTGTAACTATGCAACTGTGTAACTATGCAACTGTGTAACTATGCAACTGTGTGACTATGCAACTGTGTAACTGTGTGACTGTGTAACTGTGTAACTGTGTAACTATGCAACTGTGTGACTGTGTAACTGTGTAACTATGCAACTGTGTGACTGTGTAACTGTGTAACTGTGCAACTGTGTGACTGTGTAACTAACTGTGTAACTATGTAACTATGCAACCGTGTAACTAACTGTGTAACTGAGATTTTCTTTTCCTATTTCCTTCACATTTGCAGATCCGTCTCCCCAACATCTTTAGGTAAGTGACGTTGGATTTTATAAAGCGATTGATTAACTTGGAGTACAGCCCTGCAAGGTCTCCCATCTAGTTTGTGTTTAAATAGTGATATCGTCAGATAAGATAGAACTTGGAATAATAATTTAATAATGTATTAGGGGGAATATTACAGGATTTCCCTCTTTATCGCCAGTTTATTGAAATTAGAGTTTTCTAGACACATTTGATGTAATTTTACCAATTCACTTCACATGGAAACGCTGTGATTTCCAAGCTCTGCACCGTCCTTTACGTTGGAGTAGGGTGTATCTGCCTTGCCAGCTACTGGGGACTACATTTCCCACCCTTGTGTTAACCTCGTTGACCCTCTTTAGGCAAATCTCTGTGACTGATTCGTTACATTAGAAGGTCCTACTGATGGAGGTTGGAGGGATGATTGATGTCCCCTCACAACTCCACAGCCCTAATCTGCCAAGCCCGCATATCACGTGTCAAACCCTCATATCGCATGTCAAACCCTCATATCGCATGTCAAACCCTCATATCACATGTCAAGCCCTCATATCGCGTGTCAAACCCTCATATCGCGTGTCAAACCCTCATATAGCATGTCAAACCCTCATATCGCGTGTCAAACTCTCATATCGCGTGTCAAACCCTCATATTGCGTGTAAAACTCTCATATCGCGTGTCAAGCCCTCATATCGCGTGTCAAACCCTCATATCACGTGTCAAACCCTCATATCGCATGTCAAACTCTCATATCGCGTGTCAAACCCTCATATCGCGTGTCAAACCCCCATATCGCGTGTCAAACCCCCATATCGCGTGTCAAACCCCCATATCGCGTGTCAAACCCTCATATCACATGTCAAACCCCCATATCGCGTGTCAAACCCCCATATCACGTGTCAAACCCTCATATTGCGTGCTCGCTCATTTCCACGTGCAAAAAGGCCGTCTGTTTGTACTTGCCCCAAGACTATAGTTACCAACCTCCCTGATTGCTGCCCCAGGATTCCTCCATTTACCAAATAAAACTTGGGGAGCAGAGACCCCTGGATTGTTGCTTCAGTTTCTCTTTAAGTTGCCATTTTCACACAATGATATAAATAAATTGATAAAATGTAATTAATCCCTCTCTCCCCCATTAGAGGAAAGAGATAGGGGCCTGTTTATATAGATACTGCTAATTTATTTCTCACATTAAAACTCTGTTTTCATAATTCTTATTGTTTTTTAGATGGCTCAGCAAATAATGATCATTATTCTGTTGACATAAATGACAGTTATAACAGGTGAGTTGTTTTTATAATTAATTTTGTGTGTTTGTACAATGGGCGTTGTGAATGTTTATGTTGTGTGCGCAGTGTGTGCAGGGCCGGTGCAAGGATTTTTGCCGCCCCCTTCGCTCCACCCATGATGAGACCTCAAAATATCCAACCCATGTGATCTGTCCATGTCATGACATCACAAAGAATTGCCAGGAATTCAAAGTGAATTTCGTATTTAGGTTAAAAAAAAGCTAAATAGCAAATACGGCTAAATTGGAAATATTGTATTTTCCAATTTGGTTATTTTGGCCTTAAATTAGAAATTCACTCAAAATCTATTTTGAATTCTCACTTTAGTAAATAACCCTGGTAAAGAATAGTTCAAATTATACGTTTCATCATAGGAACACTCCAAACACCATAACAACCCCAGTATAAAGAAGGTATAGCTAGGCTGACCGTGATAATCTGGGAGCATACGCTGACACTTTCAGCCAATCACTGGTCACCACTTGAGAGCAACAGTACGTCTCTTTTATCCTTGGATATTAATGCATGGGTGTTATAGTAATCTTTGTGTAGAAATGATATTTTGCTTATATATATATATATGTGTGTGTGTGTGTACACAGTACATAAAAATATTAATATAATACACATATATTAATATACATGTATAATACTCTCCCACACTTTAAAGGACCACTAGAGTCACCCAGTCCACTTCATCTCAATGAAATGGTCTGTGTGCAGTGCTCCTGTAGGTTTAACCACACAAGGTTGCCATTTTTCAAAAACTGCATTGTTTACATTGAAGGTTTTAAAAGGCCTCTAGTGGCTGTCAGGGCCGGACTGGCCCACTGGAATACCGGGAAATTTCCGGTGGGCCGTCGGCACCTAGGGCCGGGCAGGCAACTGGCTTTTCTGGCGGCCGCAGGGGGAGCTGGCTGTTCTGTCTCTGCTCCCCCGCCCCAGCACGCTACAAAGAGACCGGGGCCAGAATATGACGTCATATTCCGGCTCCGGTCTCATTAAGCAGCGCGCTGGGGCGGGGGAGCAGAGACCGAACAGCCAGCTCCCTCTGCAGCCGCCAGAAGAGCCAGATCCCCCCCATGCGGCCGCCATCAGAGCTCCCCATGCAGCTGCCAGCACACAGGTAGCAATTATGTGTGTCAGTGTGAGTGTATGTGGGTGTGTCCGTGTCATTTGTGTGTGTGTCTGTCATGGTGTGTCTGTCTGTGTCATGGTATGTGTGTGTGTCTGTCATGCAATGTGTGTCTGTGTCATTGTGTGTGTCTGTCTGTGTCATGGTGTGTGTGTGTCTGTAACGAGAATATACCCCTACACGCAGGATCCAGCTAAACAGAGGCAAATACAGAGGAGAGATACGTCTACCGGACCTTAGAATGGCCGGACTTGACGTATATGAGAGAAGACAGAGCCAGGAACAAACCGAGGTCAAGGGCACAGAGAGACAGCGTAAACTAGGACAAGCCGGGGTCTGGTACACGGAAAACAGCAAGCCGGCAAACAGTACAGATAAGGATAAAGCGAAAACGAAGTCAGAATACGAAGCCAAAGTCAATACGAGAAAACACAACTGAACACCACAAGCGCTAAAGGGAACTGAAACAGAAACCACGATAGGGCAAGGAACAAAGGGAAGAAGGTGAGTATAAATACCTAAACATCTAATTTGATTGGTCCCTGTCACATCCACGCCCCCAAAAGGTAAGTGTATGGGGAGTGTGGCATGACAGGGACCAATGGGATGCCTTTTCCAATTTAGGCACCCACTGTCCCTTTAAGAGCGCGCCCGAGACTCGCGGCGCGCTCTTAGTTTCAGGCGGGACACGTGACCGCTTCACGCGGTCACTGCCCGCCTTCCATCCAAGCAGTCGGATGAGCCGCGCGCGGCTCGTGCAGCCGCAGGACCGCGCGCGGCTTGAAGAGAGGACCGCGACCGGCCCCCGGTTAAGGTAAGTAACGCTACAGTACCCCCCCCTGAGGACACGCCCCCCGGGCGGGTAGGACCAGGCCTGGCAGGAAAACGAGAATGGAAAGAGCGCACAAGACGGGGAGCATGGACAGCATCAGCCGAAATCCAACTGTGCTCCTCAGGCCCATAACCCTTCCAATGTACCAAGTACTGAAGTCGACCCCTAAGGAAACGAGAGTCAAGAACAGCAGACACTTCAAACTCCTCATGACCCTCCACCGAGATAGGAGGGGGAGGAGGAGTATGCCGGGTATAGCGGTTGCGCACGAAAGGTTTCAACAATGAGGTGTGAAAAACATTAGGAATACGTAGATTCTTAGGCAGGCCTAAGGCATAAGAAACAGGATTAACCTTATGTATAATACGATAAGGTCCAATGAAGCGGGGAGCCAATTTCATAGAAGGCACCCGGAGACGAATATTCCGCGTGGAAAGCAAAACCCTGTCCCCACAACATAGGACGGAGCTGCTCTGCGATGCTTGTCAGCCTGAGCCTTCTGGCGAGTAGCAGAGTCCACCAAAGAACGCTGAACCTGCTCCCAAGTATTACGCAAACCAGCCAAATGCTCATCCAGAACTGGCATGCCCTGTGAGGAGAATGCAGCCGGAAGAACAACGGGATGCTGGCCATAGACAACGTAAAAAGGGCTCTTGCCGGAAGAATCATGAGTGGCGTTATTCCGAGCAAATTCAGCCCAAGGAAGCAGGTCAGACCAATTGTCCTGATGGTGAGACACAAAACAACGGAGGTATTGCTCCAGAGACTGGTTGGCACGTTCAGCAGCCCCATTAGACTGGGGATGATAAGCGGAAGAAAATGAGAGAGAAATACCCATTTCTGAACAAAAGGCCCTCCAGAACCTGGAAATAAATTGGCTACCCCTATCGGATACAATAGATACGGGAATCCCATGTAATCGAAATACTTCTCTAGCGAAGATATGAGCCAGTTCCTTAGATGTGGGCAACTTGTGAAGAGACACGAAGTGAGCCATTTTGGAGAACCGATCCACTATCATCAGGATTACTGTGTTACCATTTGAAGGGGGTAATTCAACAATAAAATCCATGGACAGGTTAGACCAAGGTCTCTCGGGAACGGGTAACGGATGCAACAGCCCACAAGGAACTCTACGGGAGGATTTCATACAGGCACAAGTAGTACAAGCACTTATATAGTCAGTGACATCCTTTCGTAAGGAATCCCACCAAAAATACCGAGAAACAGCTGACACCGCTTTGGAAATACCAGGATGTCCAGCGGTCTTAGTATCATGATATAATGACATAATATCCCGTCTCTCAGGAACATCAACGAACAGTTTATCATTAGGCCTCTCGCTAGGTGCCATGCTTTGTTTCGCTTGTATGGTCTGCAAGAGGGACGAGGAAATAGACAAAATAGTAGTAGCTATTATCCTGTCTGGGGGAATGACAGGAGTAACATCAATCTCCTGTTTGTCAGTAGTTTCGAACTGTCTGGACAGAGCGTCTGCTTTAGTGTTGCGATCACCTGGCCTATAGGTGATAATAAAATTGAAACGGGACAAAAATAGTGACCACCTAGCCTGCCTGGAAGACAATCTTTTGGCTTCGCTAAGGTAGGATAGGTTCTTGTGATCCGTAAAAATGAGGATAGGATCCTTAGTTCCCTCTAACAAATGTCTCCACTCTTTAAGTGCTAAAATAATAGCAAGGAGTTCACGATTACCCACATCATAATTTTTCTCTGCTTTGGACATTTGTTT